GGGGAAATGATGCCGGGGGGGGGGGGGAAGAGACCTGGGTCCTCCCTGCCCAGCCCCAAAAGGACCGGGGAGGGGGGGCAGGAGAGGGAAGAGGCACAGAATGGGGGCATCGAGGTGGGGAGGGGGAAGGAAGGAAGGAAGGAAGGAAGGAAGGAAGGAAGGAAGGAAGGAAGACAAAAAAGACAGGAAAACTGAAAGAAAGGCTGAAAGAGAAAGAAAGAAAGAAAGGAAGGAAGGAAGGAAGGAAGGAAGGAAGGAAGGAAGGAAGGAAGGAAGGAAGGAAGGGGACAAAAAGAAAAAATAACCGGCATGGGAAAAGCACACTTTTACATTAAATAAAACAATGATAGTTGGATAGATTTTTGCTGTATGAAAACTGTATTTCTCTCTCTCTCTCTCTCTCTCTTTTTCAATATAAAAACTATTGTCACTGGCACAAAATAGAACAAGTTTTTTGTTTTGTTTTTTTTGGGATTATTTTACAACGGCGTGGGAATGCTTCCCGTGGCTGCCGCCCCCCCGCCCCCCCTCCTCTTCAACCCAGCAGAGAGCCTCCGCGCGTGGCAGTTTCCTTTTTCCTTTTTTTTGTCTTTTTGTGTGTGTGTGTGTCTTTTAAATGAAATGTATAGTACAAATATATGTGCAAATGCCCCTAAAACTTGAGCAAAAACCATTTAAAAAATAAAATAAAATTTAAAAGTTCTTCATTTCATGCAAAGGGCACCCAAAGTCTGCAGCTCCCCCCTCACGTAGGAAAAAGGGTGGGGGGGGGAAAGAGAGAAAAAACAAAAAAAAAAGGAAAAGAAATGCGGACAGACGTGGTCGGGGGTTTGTGTCAAATAGGCGTCTCTGATCCGGGGGGGCGCAGGGCGGGGCGGGGGGGGGGAGAGGGGAGGGGCTTCTCCCCGCTCCGTCCCACTCCTCCCCGGGCCGCCCCACGGGCTCCTATGGCACTGAGTTGGGCTGGAGCACGGCGGCCTGGTGTCCCCTGGGCGACAGCTTCTCCTCCAAGTCCGTCTCCGGGGCGAAGGCCGCGGCGGCGTCCACTTTGGGCGGCTTGGTTGCAAACTCGGTGACGCTGAAGACGAACTGGAGGCAGCCGAGCTTGATGTAGCTGCCGTGGTGCAGGAGGGCCGTGCCTTCCCAGCCGGCCCCGCTGCCCCCAATCAGGCTGGAGCTGCTGGCTCTGCAGCCGCAAGGCGGCTGGGGCTGGCCCTGGGCCTGGGCGCGCATGGCGGCCGTCTCTTCGCTGGGCGGCGCCGGCAGCAGCGGCACCGGCTCTTCCTCTGGCAGCTTCCGGTTCTTGTGGCGCTCTGCAGGGGGGGGAAGAGGTGGAGGATGGAGGCCGAGGGGGGAAGACGGGCGGCGGCGCCCCAGACAATCCCACTTGCGCGCCCCCCCCTCCCGCCCCCACCCCCCCGTTTAATGGCAGGGTGTCCTCGAATTAGGAGCGCAATATTATAGCCGGTGGGAAGATGGGCGGCCGATACATTTTAGACGTAATAAACATGATCGATAGCACAAAATAAAAATTAAAACAAAAAATGCTATAAAGTTAAATTAAGTTAAAATAACCAAGTAAAATATAAAACAGGGAATAAAATTAAACATTAAAATAACAAACTAAAATTGACATAGGATTAAAAATTAAATTAACATTAAAAATAACAAATAATAAAAAAATTAAATTAAAAATAAAAATAACAAATAATGAAAAAATTAAATTAAAGTTAACAAAATAAAAGCTAACATAAAGAATACAATTCAAAATTAAATTGAAATAACAAAATAAAAGCCAACATTAAATAAAAAATAAAAAATAACATAAAAGGAAATACAAAAATTAAATTCAAATAACAAAATAAAAATGTCCTAAAGTAAATAAAAATTAAATTAAATTAAAATAACATAAAATAAAAAAATAACATAAAGGTAAATAAAATAAAAAAATTAACTTAACATAAAATAAAAAACACAAAACAATTCAACAACCATTACCACTGCTAAGCAAGACAGTTGTTGAGTGAATTGCGTCTCATTTTACAAGATTTCTGCCCCAGTTGTTTAGCCAATCACTGCAGTTGTTAAGTGACTCTGTCATTAAGTGAACAGCGATGAAGTTAGTCGTTAAGTGAATAACGAGGAAGCAAAAGGAGAGAATGCTGGGAAACGGTGTGGAAAAGCGGATGCCCATACGTGAGACTATCTCTGCCCATAAAAGGACCGACAGCAAGGAGGTTGGCAGGGGAGGGTCAGCACCGAGATTATGGGATGGATTTTCCCCAGGGCTTGAAGGGGCGGGGCAGGGCTTAAGGAGACCCACTTCTCGGGGGGGGGGGGGGTGTGTTGGGGTAAGGGGGGTCATGAACCTCCAAAGACCGGGGCAATCTGCATCGGAATGAAACGGAACAGAATGAGCTGGAAGGGGCCTTAGAGGTCTTCTAGTCCAGCCTCATGCCTGTGACGGCAAACCTATTTGTGTGGGCACGCGAGCCCCAGGCAAACTTACCTCGCTGCGCAGGCGCGCGCCTCCCAGCTGATTTTTGGACCTTTTTCGTCTTCCCAGAAGCTCCAGGGAAGCCTCTGCAGCCTTTGCAGGCCGAAAAACAGGCCCGTTTTGTCACTTCCTTTATTTCCGGAAATACCCAAAGTGACGAAACGGGCCCGTTTTTCGGCCTACAGAGGCTGCAGAGGCTTCCCTGGAGCCTCTGGAAGATCGAAAAAGGCCCCCAAATCAGCTGAGAGGCGCGCACATGCGCCGTTCAGGTAAGGGAGCAGTGTGGGGGGGTGTCATATGCAGATGTGCAGGGGGAATGGGTGGGGGGGCATGCATTGCCTTCTGGGTGCTGGCACGTGAGCGCGCGCAATTTTCGGCACAGGAGCCCCAAATGGTTAGACACCACTGAGCTAAACCGTCTCAGGTAAGTGACGGGCATCTGGGCCAGACAGCTCTTGAGGCGCCGAGAACTGAAGTTCCTGATCCCATAGCGTATAAATTTGGCGTATAAATTTGATCAATCGACGGATCGATCCTGTCATTTTGGCCACCCCCCCAAGAAAACAGAAGCCCAGGAGGAGCCCAGGACCTTCATGATGACTGCCAACGGGGTCCATCAGGCCTTCTGCCCACACCTGCTCTTGCGTAACTGACACCTGCCATGTCGCAAAGAGGAGGAGGAAGAGGTTTCAGGCACAGGCGGTCCTTGACTTATAACAGTTCATTTAGTGACCGCTTGAAGTTACACCGGCGTTGGGAAAAGGGACGTGGGACCAGGTTTTTTTTTTCTTCTTCACACTTAACAACCATTGCACCATCCCCCCCCCCGTGGTCACGTGATCAAAATCCAGAGGCTTGGCAACGGATTCGTATTTATGGCGGTGGAAGGGTCATGGGATTTCCCCTTTTGTGACCAGCCAAGTCCACGGGGAAGCCAGATTCACGGAACAGCTGCGTGACTAATTTAATCCCTGCAGTGATTCACTTAACAACGGTGGCAGAAAAGTTCATCCGGTGGGGCAAAAGCGTCTTCTGTCTTGCTTAGCGACAGAAATGTTGGGCTCAGCTGTGGCCGTAAGTCGAGGACTACCCGTAACTCAAGGCAGCAGACATCCTAAACCCCCCTTCCCTCTCCTCAGCCGTGGTCATAAGTCAAGGGCCACTCAAGGCCACAAACATCCCTCATCTTCCTTCCCTCTCAACCGTGGTCGTAAGTAGAGGACTACATATATCGAAACTCTAGAAAGGGACGGAACCCGCAGCAGCCAGCTCCATGGGTTGGGCATTGAGCGGGACGAGTGAGCTACGAATGGCCACCGATGCAGGGACCTCATTGAGCAACGGTTCTGCTGTGAGGGACGCCCATGACGGGGAGCAAGCCAGCATCAGTCATGGGAACTCCGGGGTTGCGCTTTGGGCAAGTGTGTGTGTGTGTGTGTGTGTGTGTAAGCATCGCTCAGCCGCCAGGGAACTTACTGATCACGCTCTGCACTTTGGCCACCATGCTGCTGGGCGGGACGAAGGCCGCCTTCTCCGAGAAGTCGCACGAGTAGAGGACGTTGTCCACCGTGGTGCCGTGCTCGCTGTAGTTGAGCAGCTCGTAATGCTTGGTGTTCTGCGGGAAGAAACTCGGTTGTACCGGGGGGAGGTGGGGGGGAACCAACAGGGGGCAGTGGGGGGGGGTCTCGTCACCCTCCCCCAGACCCTTCCGCCCACCTGCCTATGCCCACCCCAAAAGCAGAGAGCCGGGACCCGCCTTCCCTCTTTCCGGACTCTTACCTCATCGTAGAAAATGCAGGCGTGTTTGCCCGAGACGTAGTTGCAGTGACCGTAGTTTGTAAGGCACACATCCATGTCTGCTCCTGCCAAACGAAGGAGTGGGGGGGGGTCAGGACCCCAATCTGGGAGGGGGGGGCTCACAGGTGGGCCATGCCCACAACCGAAGGCCTGGAGGAGGGAGCGGGGTCAGGCCTCGGATAAGTCTCCCTTCTGCGTTTCTTGCGCAGAAATCATGCTTTATCCGCTATCTGGTGGGTGACTTTCCTGGGGGGGGGGGAGAGAAAGCCCCAGGAATGCTCCCCCCGGGGGCTCTTTCCCTGCCTCCTCCTCCTCCCCACACCTGCCGGCCATGCAGAGAAACCAGCCCTTGCCTGTCCCGATGTAGAGGGTCCGATAGCACATGTTCACCGCGCTGCCCGAGCCTAGGAGTGGGTAGAAGACTGCCCGGGCCTGCACCTCTTTCCTGTGTCCTGCAAAGGCAGAAAGATGCCCTGGGTGCCAAGCATCTCCCCGTGCCAGGCACGGGACGCTCCGTTCTGAATGCAACCCCCTCCCCCCCCGTTAGATTTGGAAGCCATATTGAGACCAGATGCTCCCACACCGACACATTTTAAGCCTGGGAAAGTGGGAGGGGGGAAGTTCTGGGAGTGGATGGAGTTAAGACATAACAAACATTCTTTTTTCTAATTCAAGGTCATGTGATTTCTGCACCTGGGTGAGAGGACGTCTCAAGTGGGGACGGACGGTGATTGGGCCATGTGATGCGATGACGGGTGACAGGGGGTGGATTTGTAGGTTTTTTTTACTTATTGCGAGGAAACCTGGAACTTTCACATTCAGGATTCCCCAGTTGTGCCAGTTTACTCTCCAAATAAAAAAAGAACTTTTGAGAAGATGTCTGTCTCGGAGTTATTGGGCAGAATGGAGGGCTGCTGGAACGCTGAAACCTCCCCCCGCCA